CACATACAGTAAGAGCATGAGCTGGCAGGATTTCAATATGGTACTGAACATGTGTTCCTCAGTAGTTGAACCAAGGTCAACGGTTGTTCTTTCCTCGATTAGTGATTCCATTGCCAGCTTGTTATGGACAGAGCTCTTGTAAATCGATGCCTGAAACATGTGGAAGGTACATGTACATGTATAGACATCCAAATGGGAAATGTATCATCATCATCCCCACCTAAACCATGCAGTCTTGCTCCAAAGAATGATGTATGTGTAGGGAACGTAAAATGATGTCATCACCAAGCTAATGTGTGGCGTTGACTGGAAGATCGTAATCCGTCGGAACTTTATGTGGAATTACATGTACCTGTGTGTATTGTAGGTTAAAGACACAATCTGATTAAAACACCGATCCAATTTCGTTTCGTTTTTATAGTTCAAATTTTCGATTTTACTTGTCTCTACTACACTTGGATCTGGAAGCGTTGTTATTTAACTCGTGTTCTGCCTGAAATGAGGGGTCAGCCAATCAAATGGTCTGTCGAATCGAGCGTTTGACCTTTTTTGCGCGGAACTGTGGGTAGACATTAGCGGCAATAGAAATCAAAACAAAGCAAAAGTAGATCAAAAATACATGGCGGTCGCTAATTGGTTACTCGAATGACTGACGTAATCGGGTCAAATGTCACCTGACGTCATAGAACGTGAACTCCCATCAAAAGTATAAAAAACGAAACGAAATATAGATCTATATTTTAATTAGATTGGTTAAAGACACTAAATTGAGAACATTACAACGGGTCAACGTGCCCCAGAGTCTGACATGTGGCTCACCAGATGTGGATGCAAGAATGACAGCTCATGTACATATAGTATGCGTGCCTGTAGCTGCACTAGGGATGGCTTAGACTATACAGTATTTGCAGCAAGAAACACGACAAGGGGATTAAACTGAATATTACCTAGTTTTGTGGAGGCTACATGTATATTCGTGTTTTGTGGGTAGAATTAGTTTTGATAATCATGATGTGGTCAGGGCCGCATTTAGCGGGGGTGCAGGGGGTACATTGCACCCCCAGAAAAATAAGGCGCCCCGAGAAATTGCGCCCCCACCCCATCCCCCCCAAAAAAATTATTTGACAATCTTTCAATTATAAAATAATACACTTGATTATGATCACACAGTGATGCTCTTAAGGCACTGATCAGTCGATCGGTTTTAAGGGCACCCACACGCCAATGGGTTCGTTTGCCCTGATCGAAACTTTCTTATATCACATACGTGGAGGCTATGGCACCCCATCACTCTGCTGCACCTCCACTTTCAAAATCCTACATACGGCCCTGGATATGGTGTTATTGTATTACTCATATGCTCCTATGTCCAGAAATGTATAGTTTGTCTATACATGTACTTTGGCTAAATACTATGGGAGTTATTGGGGATTATTTGAAAAGGCAGCCATCTTGGACGCCATCTTGAATTTCTCAAAACGCTCAAGGGTGGCCAATGTTCACCGGCATATTCTAAAAGTGGACACCCAAGGCTACTAAAATCAATAAAAATTTTATGAGTGCAAAACTGGACAGTCTTTGAAAAATGCTTTTCCATGTCACGAAAATAGACGATTTGGGGTGCCATTTTGGATTCTGACAATCTCATTTAAGATGGGGGGAATGGACTCTACATCCCTGAAAAAGCATAAAATAGACACATTGCAAGCCATACCTGACCTTTCTAAGTGATTTGTCAAGCTCAAAACGTCCAAAAATCCGGAAAATGGCTGCTTTGGCAAGAAAATTCTGGAAATATTACGGTGTAAGTTTGAACCTGAGTGGACATCAGTGACGGGTAGAAACCTTAGAAATTACGTAAAAAGTGAAAAGTGAAACACACTAATGTGCTTGTCATATAACTTCTGATCTGGTGTAGCTTATAGTACATGTACATGTAGATCAGTTTGGAAATTATCAGCTTAGATGTTGACAAATTCATGTACGGTACTGTATTCTGCAGCTATATCTGTTGGCTGAATTCTTCAAACTTACCTACAGGTAATTAAATACATGTACACATATGTAACATCTACATTTATGTCTGTGTGGTATATATGTACATGTACCTTACTTCATACAATTCACTTTCACAAATACCTGTAACACTCTTTGGTAAATATTTAAATTTATTATATTTCTCTTCATATTCTTATTCTAGAGCTAACATACTTGTATATATATGGGAGCCACTGTGGCTCACTGAGTAAGACGTTGGCCCGCGAACCTGGACGGCCCATGTTCAATCACGTAGTTGGCTGAGAAAGTTCCTCATGATTTTCCGACGCAGTGTTGACAAGGGGCCTAACAAGTTGTTCAAATGGGATGGAAAACCGAGGTCCTTTGTACACATTGACATGCACTGAAAAGAACCCTTGACAGTTTGAATTTGAAATGTGAGTAGGTCGTAGTGATGCTGTCTGAGTATAATTTCCCTCATAGTATACTGCTTGGCTTATGCTCATCTTCATTAGCCCAGTCGGACGTTTCAGCTAGCATATAAACTGCATTTGTCCACAAACATATCGACTGTGCAGTCAATTACACCACATACATGTACAATGTATTTCATCGACTTATTCAGCAAGAAAAGCTAGCCAAGCCAGAAACATTGGGTTATTTTTGCTAAAGATGCACCATGACAGATTTTGAGAGAGATCTGACTGTTCTTACTATAATACATGTAGTTCCAAAATAGATGATGCAAAATGAATATATTGAAAATTTCATTAAAATTACTTTATTCTGAGAGAAGTTATCAGTGTTTTAACTTTTAATTGTACATATACGCGCGTACTTGTTAATCGAGACTCATCCTTAAAGGGACAATAACACTCTTGCTGACTTGACAGCTCCAGTAAATAAATATCAGCCTTATTCTAAGTATTAGATGTTTAAGTGTCCTACCTGTTGTGTAAATTAACCATTACATCATATTTTACTTGTCCAGAGGGTTTGAAAATATTTTTAAATCCAAGTCACATTTGAAAAGGTTTACGTTAGGCTTTTCAAATCATTTAGTTGAATTTTTCCAAATTTTAAATTAGGTATGTTAAGATGAAATTTGTATCATCAATTAATTGGAATACTGTAAAATAGTACAATCTGACCTACAGTTGACATTTATCTGGTCCAGTTAGAAATTGTTATTCAGTTTGTGACATTGTTTGTTTGTTATATGTATGTATACATGTATGTATATTTATAAATGCTTGTTGCTATGTGCAATGTATTTTGATATTGTAAATACATGTAATCATTTTAATTATGATGAAGATGAATAAATACAAATGTTATCTTAATCTTACATGAACATGTAGCTTTGTAGGCCTATTGATTACATGTACATGTAGGTCTACTGTGTCATCTCCTTGATTGCAATATGATTTCATTAATAATCTAATCATTATAGCTGGGGATGGGGCATGTTATGTACACAAACTAAGAAAATATTATCTTCAACTCGATCACATCAGATCTAAATTATCTAAACATTATAAAGTATGTAGAGCCCACAGGCACTTGAAGGGATTAAAATAAAACTTCTTACTACTGCTTGACTATATATTATAGTATATAAGAAGGTATTTACTCGAAATTTTCCTAGGAACTGGGTGATCCAGACTGCACCTGCGGTGCGGCCTCGCTTCGTAGGCTGGATCATTTACCGACGAAATTTCGAGTAACGGATAGGTTTATAAGGGACTGGGTGATACAGACTGCTACAAACAAATCTTATTTCCGCTCTGATGAAGACGAATATCGGCAAGTGACAGCGCTTCAAGTTTGATTTGTAATTAATAACGCTGTTAAATGGCCAATTTAATTACATTGGAAGCTGAATAATGATCAAATAAGGCCTCGTTGGCAATAAAAACGACGGGTAGTGTTAGAACTAGTGAGTATTGTGAGATGTTAGCAGACGAAATGCCTTGAAGACGTCAAAACAAAGATGGCGGCTGAAATACCTTCTTTTATACTATAATATTATAGTCAAGCAGTAGTAAGAAGTTTTATTTTAATCCCTTCAAGTGCCTGTGGTAGAGCCTAATGAAATGAAATGGGGTTTAACGTACTACTGTTCTGCTAATCAAGACAGACACCACCACAGTCTACTATGAGGGAAATTTTGCCCAGACAGCAGCGCACCAGCCTACTCTTATACTGAATTCCAATTACCAAGGGATCTTTATGTGTAGAGAAAGAGAGAGAGAAATGGGGTTTAACATCCACTTGACACAAACTACATGTACACTGTAAGTGTACCGGTAGGTCATTTCGAGACTAACATATTGTTCAATTTTATTTCAATAATTGAATTCACTTGCGCGTAGGGATTTTTAGAAGTGGGAGGAAACGGAAGGACCCAGAGAAAACCCACCAGGATAGACAGGTGACCCTACTCCTTGTCACGTACAACCGGGGAATCGAAATTACGGCAGTTGACTCAATGACAGACCTTAAGATACAGCGCGCACACGCTAACCATTCGGCCATCCATCCACCCACACCAATGTGTACACGGGACCTTGGTTTTTGGTCCCATCCAAACAATTAGACAGAAGTCCTTGTCAGGCCCTCCGTCTTGCTGTCTGCACCACTGACAACTACAAGGGGAAACCACGCCGGAAAATCTCGATAAACTTTCTTCGTCAAAAAAGCCTATATAAAGTAATTGATTTGTTAGTTGATAAAAACTCTAAATAATATCAGCAACTGCGACTGGTTCACATACCAGAGCACAACACTGATAATGGTTTTTATTGATTAAATCATTTTAGTTACAACAAGGCATGTATTATGATTGTACAGTGATTAATTTATCAGTCATAATTTTTGAAAGGTGTGACTTGTCTTTAATTTTTATGTATTTGAATTATCATACATTTCATTATTTTAAAAGAAATAAAGAATATGGAAACCAGAGAGAAATCATAATTAATTAAGTAATAAATAATTACCCGCATTTTCTTCATCAATTTTCAAGGCTTTGGATATGTATTCAAAAGCTTTCCTGTGGTGATGTTTTTGTTGTGCAAGGGCGGGGTCTGCTGGTCCAGGTGTATGCTTATTTTTGGTGCCATCCGTCATGGTCTCTACTGATTCTTCGTCACTCCTTTTCTGTCTTGGCCGTAAAGGAATTGCCTGTCGACTTTTACATGCAAGCAAAACTATGACAATCCACAGCTGATAAGCGAAAGTCCTAACCAAGGCGAACAAAAACAACAATGGTGTAGCGGCTACTCTTAAATTCCTTCCGTGAAATGTTCTGTGCTCTCTAGAGTTTGATTTCCCCTTCCCATCCCCCCTTTTACGACCAAAAAAGCGACCTACCCCGGGTCCTTTTCGATGCATATTGACAACATTCCGCCATTATATGAACCATGATCGATACTTGGCGCGGAACTGTGGGATATGAAGGGATTCCCCATGACGTGTATGGGGAATCTCCTGGAAACGATTTTGATTGGTAACCTATCCCGTCACGATTTATTCATAAAAGTAGTGTTTATTTCGCTGCGAGAGCAGAAGGGGTGTGTCATTTAGTGTTGGTCTGCCTGGTTGGCACACATAGCAAAAAAGGACGATGGATGGTTTCGATAATCACTTTAGACTTGTGTTGGGTGATAATCCTGCACATGTTAAAAGTTTGAAAGAACTTTGCAGATGCACGATTCTGAAAAATACATGTGGATCTTTGAAGCATATTGCACGAGTAGGAAAACTACCTTTACCAACGATCGTGAAGGAGTTTGTGACAACATTTTGCATACCGGAACATTTCGACTTAAACGGAACTTTTATGGATTATAATTTCAATTTCCCTTATCATCTGCAGCATAAAACACACCAGATATGTCCAGCAGTGTATCAGCTTGACGGATCACAAGTATTGATAAAAGTTTTTCGTGACTGGCAAAGTAGGGCAACTCATTTCGGTGCCTGTGCAATGTGCGGGACAGAAAGTGTCAAAAATGCAACATCGTCCTTGCAAGAGTTGGAAAAGTGGAGATCATTAGATCACAAAAATCTAATGAACTGCTTAGTTAGTTTCTCTGATGATTCTGCAGGAATAATGTGCTATGTCTTGGAATTTCCCTTGATGAATATCCATACTTACGTATACCAGTTATTTTTAAGTGGAAGACAATTGCCCGAACATCTAGCGTGGGAAACGCTCGTGAAATTGACATCGGTATTTCTATTTTTAGAAAGCAGGGGTGTCGTAGCGTGGGATTTTTGTATACCCGACCATGTTGTTATTGATCACCATGGAGAGGTCAAATTAGAGAATATGCTGCTGTACTTACCAAATGCACATAAACCCATACCTGACCCACCCCAAATTTCGTCACACCTGATGGCCCCTGAAGTCCGCTTTGGGGGTATGGCTGTACCCCAGACAACTGTATGGGGAGTTGGAACAATCATTACAGAACTAATAGCGCCTATTCCATCAGTAGTAAAATATGGAAATCTGAAGTATGCCATACCTATTTCGAATAAAATGTCTACCAAATATTATTCCACAGGATTAAAGAATGTTGCTGCAAATTGCACAATCGCAGATCCAAGACAACGACCATCTCTCTCCAAACTGAAATATATTGCCAAAAAATGTCTCAGTGAAATAAATGTGCAGCGAGGACCAACAAATCTTTTGCAATGCTTAAATCAATAGAACATTAAAATTAATAAAAATATAGGCTCTTACAGGACTTAACATATTTTGCCTTTGGTCCTCTAACTACATGTACTGACTGCTGAACAGTGCCTTCCTACAACTATTTCAAAATGTGCAGTGCCTTAAATAATTAAGCTTATATATTAAATATACATATTTTTCGTTACCCTTTATATTTCAGCTGCCAAAATAGATTTATCTAGATACTTATAAAAATATATAATTACTGAGTTGAAATTTATGGTGATTTATTTTATAGATTACAGATACAGCCATTCTAAAATTTTATGAATTTCTATAGCAAGCTTATACATTTATTTACTATGCAATATTATTATTCTAAATAGTAATTTTATAAATTATAGGTTTATTATATTTACTTTTTTGTTACCAAAGACTTGATAAAAAGATAATGCCCACTTAGACTGTTATGTCATTTATACAATAGACCTCTAAAAGGCTTTTTGTTCATATAACATGTTTCTGGTCATGGTCTATTAAGTGTGGTGTATAGTATTTCCCATTCCAACAAGTACATATACAATGTAATATATAATATTGTATTTGACCATGGTATTCACCAATTATAGTGCCTTATTATGTGAATATGAACTGCCTAATATTGTATAATGAATGAATTAGTGCCTGTGTATTCTTATATATTTTCTGACCTAGATATAGATTATGAAGTATATGTACTTGTATATTGCCTTAAACTTTTATATAGTGCCTTATTATCACTACATGTATACTTATAATGCATGATATTTTTTTCTAAGGGATTCCATTTACATGTATTAACATTTAAGGATGTGTGCTCGAATTCATGATTTTAAAACATGAAAACTTATTTTACACTAAAGGAGAATGACTTTAATATTACGGTTTGAGACCTGACCTACATGTTTATGATTTTTCAATCTACTTATTATTTTACAATTTCCTGTATATAACTACATGTAGAACTTGTAGCTTTTATTTACTTAATCTTGTATACTAAACTTTACACACATGTAAACTTCTAAACTAGCCCCAAGGCCAACTCTAAGTATTCTTTGATAGATGAAAAAGAGCCTCTATTGTAAATTGTAGCCCTAGGAAGTAAATCACTCACAAAGTACTTATCTGTGAACAATGAGGCAGTTATCAAAACTGTGACCTTTTCGGTTCGACATATTTATTGCATGGCATTAACATGTGGTGTAGTATTAAATGCAGATAACATTCAACTATTTTCCAACTGTGAGTTGAACTTTATTCAGTGTAATCAGGCTTACAGATTTATGTTCAATTTATTACCGATTATAAAATCTAAATAAATGTATAAATATTATTTTATATAATATTATATAAACTTGTGAAAACTTTACAAGTTTGCATACAATTCTTTTAAGAATGTGGTGGGGTTTGCTATTTCTCAAATCTATTTACCAGTTCCGATCTGTGTGCATCTTGAGGAATGCATTATTTTCTCTTTTATTATATTAACCAGATACTTTAAAAAAATATTACCCATATTGGTAGAATAGACACTTGTTGCATTTACAGGTTTCTGAATTTATGGATTTTTTTTGATTTTTTTTAAATTTTCATTTTCAGTTCTATTAAGTTTGAATAATTTTCGGGCTGAAAACAAAAAAAAGATCTTGATTTAGAAAAGAGAAGGATGAATCTAGCTAGGGGAGTACACTGTAGCCATAGGCAACAGTACAAATCCTAACAGTTTTCCTTACTGATATAGCTAGTAGTAATTTATATATTTATTTCAGTTATTAATTCTATGTACTTAATTTACAATTCTTTCATCCTTATTATTAAAGGAGATGGTCCACCTATTTATATAACAATTGATAGATAACGATGGTCGATACCATTGTTGAAATGTCATAAAATTGAAAAGGGTACATTTGTGACTAACAGTTAATTTCAAATTTTCCAAACCAAGTTTAAAAGCTTCACCATTTCTAAGCTTTCCGTGTCATTTTGGAAGCTCTATTAGTATTGGTAGGATAGCCCTTGATTGGAGCATATAGAATTTATCTAAATGATTTTCCCAGAGTAGTTAACAGACCATCTCCTTTAATGGCCACGGTACTATATAAAACTCATGGAAATCAAATTAAAATTGGGACTTCCAACTTTTATTTTACTTTATTATTAAAATTATTAATAATTTTAAAAGCATGTAATCAAAGTTTTGTTTATTATTTTTCTAATGCTTGCTGATTATTTTTGTATTGAATTATATTTTTTTTGGTTATACACAAGGAAATGTAAGCAGATTAAAGAGACATTAAGTTAAATAATTCATAAGTTCATTCTGACCCTATAAAAAATTTTAGGAAAGAATTTTGATAGTTTGCAATTATTTCCAGCAATCTGACTTTCAACCATGACTTTCACATGACTGGAATTGAAAACTGAATGTCAATTGATATTATTGGAGATTATCACTTTTTTGTTATTCCACAAAATGTCTCTTTAATTTCGTTTAGATTTCTTTAATATGTTATTGTAAATGTACACACAGATTTTTTTGTTCTGTTATATATTTTTTTGTTTCCATGATATAAGTTATATATATATTTTCCTTTTGTTGTTATTTTTGTTATATTTTACGTTTAGTTTATGTCTTAAATGGATTTATTTCCCCTATCACAAAATCAAATATATTTACATTAAATTAACACCCAAGATATAAAATGTAATATCTTTTATGATTTGATTATAAATGAAATAAAATATATAAGTTAGAAATTATGTTATAGTTGCTTTCATAATTCTGAAAGTGTTGGAATTGTGGTTGAGACACTGGAAATCTCGGACCTGGAAGTTGACCGTTGTCAGTGGTGTAGGACAGAGGGGCCTGGCAAGGGATAATGGATAGTCGTTTGGATGGTACGATAAACCGAGGTCCTATGTACACATTGGCGTGTACGTAAAAGAACCCTAGACAGTTGAAATTCGAAATTAGAGTAGGCCATGGCACTGCTGTCGGGGCAAAATTTCACTCATAGTACACTGTATGGCGTATGCCCGTCTTCATTAGCCCAGTCGGAGCAGTACAGTAGGACGTTAAACCCCATTTCATTTCAGAGTTGGAATCTCGATGTGGGTTGAGAAGAACCGCCAGGTTATAACTTGTCAGCAGCACCTGCAGTGTTCAGACAAGAAAGGAACGTCGAGTTGTACAGATGGGACTAAAACCCAATGCCATCAGTAGGAAAATGACATACGGTAAGTAAAGTTTTGACAAAAAATATTCCTTCACATGTGTGATATCCATGATAGGTTCACATGAAACAATAAGGCAACCTGCCTAACCTTGGGCTTCTTCCACTGATGATGGGTTGGGTGGCCGATTGGTTAACGTGTGTGCGATTGGTTAACGTGTGTGCGTTGCATCATAAGGTCTGTCATCAAGTCAAGTGGCATGGTTTCGATTCGCCACTTGTACGTGACAAGGAGTAGGGTTGCCTGTTCAACCTGGTGTGTTTTCTCCAGGTCCTCCGGTTTCCTCCCACTGCTAAAGACCGATAAGTGCAAGCAAATTAATGAAATAAAACTGAACTAGGTTAGTCCCAAAATGACCTAGTTTGTGTCGAGTGGATGTTAAACCCCATTTCTCTCTCCCTTCCACTACTAAAAAAGCTTTCTGAACCCGGCTAGATCTAGATTTTGTCAAAGTCGCTAAGATGTAAATACGGTAAAGGTACGTGATTGTTGGTGAGATTGTAGGT